TTTTTTTTTTGGAAAATATAATAATGAAATAAGAATCAACGTTTACAATTTAATATTTTGAAATTTATTTTTTCGCATTTTTCTCAGAAAAAATTTAAAAACAAAAATGAAATAATGAAAAAAATATTTTACACAATATTTTGCTTTCTTCAAAATATCCTCCCCGCGCTTTTATAACTGCAGCACACACTCGAGGCATCCGATCAATCAGCTTTTTTAATGTTATCTTGTCTATTTTTCGCCACTGCTCTTGAAGGACTTTCCACATATGATTTATGCTGGCTAATGGATCGAAGACCGAAGGTAGGAGGACGAACCTAAATAGTTCCTGTGCAGAATTCATTATAATTGCTGAAAAATCATTAAATTCTGAAAAAAAATCTTTTTTTTTATTTGACAATAACTTCGTCAAAAAACATGTTTTTTTGGAATTTTTTTTCTTTAAATGAAAGCCAAAAGTCCAAATTTTTCAATGGTATAGTAAAAATTAACAATATCTAACCCCTTTGTGCCCGTACATCGCGTCAAACTTCACAAAAAATTAATACATTTTTCTATGATTGTTTAGATTGAAATTGTATATAGTTGCAAAATATATTAATTAAAAACAATTCAAGCACATTAAAGTAGAAATTTTAAGCTTCAAAATGAGCTGAAGCAGAAGCATTTTTGATCATTTTTAAAGAAGTTATGACACTTTGAATTTTGCCATTTTTTTATAAGTTTCTAAGTGTACTGATAGTTCTAGGTGTTCTAGGTGAGCGGTACTGTAGTATTAAATGACAAAATCTAAAATCATGAAACATGAATGGTTGAATAGTTCGTGAGAACGTAGAAACTATTTGGATGTTTTAATGAAAATGTTGTATTTTCTCACTTAAAATTGCATACTCTAAAGTGATGCAAAAATTTGAAAATTTTTCATTTCAGACATTTATAGACCACTAGCTGAATGAATGCCCTGTATTCGTAAGGTGTGAAAGGAATAAAAAGTCACTAAATCAGTGATAAACAGCACTACTAAATCATGCACTAAATTAAAAGACATGTTTGTCCGTTTTTTAAAAACTATATACTTGACTTAACGTTATTAAATTAAGCAAAACAGGTGCTAGAAGCTCATCTCATCAAAATTAAGATTAATTAATTTTATTCAGTATCATCTGGCATAATGATGTTACTCGAGGCCAACTCACGATATTTAAAATTTACCAAGCTGAGAAATTTTCTCCTGCACTTTTCTTTCGAAATGTCTTCAAAACATATTTCCATGATATTTATAATAAAAATGCACAGTATTGGTGCAATTTTTAAAACGATGGACACCAAATTCTTCTCATAAATTCTTTGAATCTTTATGAGTGTATAACCGCACCAATTACCATAATGCCAGTAATGCAATTTACCGTAATTGATTATGATTCATTGCCGGCATTAATAGTATGGGGACATTTTACGTTTCCTTATAGTAAATAATCATATTTCC